AGTGTATTTTTAGGTAGTATAAATTTTATAGAAGTCATAAAGTTTTATGAATTTTAACCAATGTCCTTCTCAGAATAACTTGGGTCTTACTTGTCAGTGTAAGTGTAAGCCTCTGGGAAAAGACGACCAGAGCTGTTCCTAAAAGTGAGGAATTTGCAAGTGGCAGGTTACGTAGGTTTGGGAAGAGAGTTTAAAATCAATCCCTTCAGCACCTGCATAGGCAGTACAGCAAAACCAGTTGCGTGACTACAGAATTCTTTTGGGTTTAGTCTGTGTGGGCAGGATTTGTCTTCTCTTGCAGGAATTTGACTCCCTTTCCTGGGACAAATGTGACCTGCTCACTAGTCCCATAAGCTACAAGTTACTTGAGCTGAACTTCAGGAAGAAACGTCCCTGGACTTGCTGTGTCTGTGTCTCACGTGCTGGCAGCCAGCCCTCAGGTGAGCCTGCACTCAGCTCAAAATCCTGCAGTCACCTTGGGGTGCACACTGAATGGAATTGCAGTAGAGCCAGGGACACATTACAATTCCTGCTTCAAAGCCCCATTACCTTTATGGATCGATCCTGCAATGACACAAGCTCTGTGTCAGCAGGAACTGGGAAGCAATGAGTTTTACCCTTTTTTTCCCCTGTTAACTTTAGACTGTTGACACGGTGCTAAATTCAGTGCGCTGAAGGTGTTTCCATGTGTCACTTCTAATAGGATACAGGTGTCAGACAGTTTGAGATTATTTCAAACCTAATTTTCTTAGAGTGAAGATACAAACAGTTACACCAGAAGCAGATGTTGGGCCTTTCTCACCCCTCCGAAATGTGGTTTGGCATCCATCCAGACCGAGTCTTTAGGGAAAAAGAGAAAATTACATTTAATTTTGGCTTGCTTGGTTTCCTCCTTTCAAAATCTTCATGAATGTGCAATAATAAAAAAAAAAAAAAACACCAACCCATCCCTTTTCCCTCTGCTTACTCAGGGACTAAGGGTCTTGTTGCAAACAGATGGAGTACAGGCAGGTTGTTCTCCATCAAGGGGGTCAATGAGTTTAGTTACACTTCGTCAGAACTCTTGTAGGTATCAGGAGAACTGAGCTCATAACCCTGGTATTACAGCCTTGTGGCAAAGAAGACTCTACTCTGAGGTTTGCTGCTTGAATTTTGGGTTCTGCTGCTCAAACTCCTCTTTCTGCAACTGCCTTTAGGAAAGGAATCTTGTGACTATAAATCTCACTGTGTGTGACAACTGTATTTAAAGCCAAAGTACCAAACAATTGCACGGGCTTTTTGGAATCAGTGTTTGTTGGTCACTCAAATGCTACTGAATAGCAAATCCTTTAGGAGTGAAGAGCCATAAATGTACACTGGGAAGTGAGGGAGCAACGTATTTGTATCATCCAGAGGAGGAAGGGCAGAGGATGAGGACTCCCTGGACTGGTAAACACAAAGGGAACAGTGAGCAGATGGTGGACAGGAGGCACTAATGCCACTGCTGCTCTCCTGGGGTCGGGCCAGATCGCACCAGGAAGAGTCTGCAGGCAGGTCCTGCCGAGGGAGGTGGGTGAACATGATCAATACCAGGCATCAAGGGCTGGCTTGCGAATCAAAGGCACAACTGTGGAAATGCCACTTTGCACATGGGGTTTGACTGAGCTGCCAGGAAGTTATCCAGAGGCACTGGAAGACCAACCCGGTAACAGGAAATGAATGAAAGCATTTCTGAGCGGATCCTGGGCTGGGAGTGCTGCTGGGGCTATTTATACAGGCAATTCACCCCGTTAAGGGGCTGCTCAGATGTCACAGATTAGCCACTGCCAGCACCAGTGACCTTTCTGCACAGTGCTTTAGGAACAAAAAGATGGAAATTCCCATTTTCCAAGCGTGGTCCAAAAAAACCCTCTGTGCTCTTGTTAAAGCAGCTGCATTGAAGAGGAGTGATTAGAACTGGCCTTTTTTTTTTTTAAGCCTGCACCTGTCTCTCATTCCACAGCTAAGGACACACTGAAATCTGCTTCCCTATAGACCTGATCCCGTCTGAGCTTCAGGTGGTAATTAAATTCATCATCATCTACACCAATTTCCACTTAACCACTTGAGGGGAAGAGCCACCTCAACACCAGCAGTTGCAGGAGTGAGGCACCCCCAGGGAAGATAATCTCCCCCATTTCTCCACCTCCAAAAGGGTGAGGCTTTTTTCGATTTTCATTCTTATGGAAGTCGAGGGCTTGCAAAGGAGGGGGCGTCAGTTTTGAGCAGCTCTGTGTGTCAGTCTCTCGGGAAGGTTTTTGATTCTTGATTATTTTACTTGCGTAGTTCTTACACACTGATCTCACCCACCTTCAGAGCTGAAGTTTCTCCATATTCCCTCAGTTTCTCATCACCTGTGAACACGCGCAGTGCCAGGAGTTTGATTCCTGGCACAGTGATACAGGAGAACTAATGGCTTCAAAATTGTCCTTAATGGCATTTTTTGTAATTCAAAATTATCGAATTTTTCTGCCTTTAAAATGCAATGGGTGCCTAGGAACTGATGGCACTATGTGAGCAAATTAGCCTTTGTACAGTAAGTCAGACATCCCACATAATCTGTATTTCTGGGGGAGGAAATGTCAAAGCAGAACTTGGGTTTGTTTTGTGACAAGGTGCTGAGGCAAAACAGCAGGATGCTCACTCAAAATGACTTACCAAAAACATGCATGGCCCTAAAATATGTCAAAACAGGGTAAGAGTAACACATTATTGTCATGTAAAATGCTGCTTCATCTTGGCCCAAGGTGTCACACCAGGTTTTATCACGTGGCAGTGAGGTACAAAGCTCTTAAAAAAGGTTGATTTCCTAGGGGAGTTGTAGCTATTTCTTCTTTACATTAATTTTAGTGTTGTCACTGACTGCTTGAAATAGGAATAAAATTAGATTTTCAGAATAATACTCATTCATGCAAATGCATTTAATGTGAACAATATCCCCAGAAATGGCACAGAATTAAAACCAAATTAAACAAGAAATTCAGGAAATGTTTTCAAAATATTTTTTGAGAGATTTTAGAAAGATGCCACATTTAGTGAAGAAATTTTTTTTTTTTGCCTTCCAAACAAAGTTATTAATGTATTTATCTTCTATAAAAATGAGGCACTCATAAGGGTTTTTTTAATTTCAAGGCAGTACTGGAACTTTGTAGAGTTATTCCGATTGCGTGATGGAAAATGACTCCTTTTGGCATTCTAATCAGCCAGTGAATAAATTCCCCAAAAACTGGGGATACGAACCAGAAAATGTTATTCATTAATTTTGTTTATGGTTATTTAATTTTAATTATAATACTTTAAAGCTGTTTAAATCTGCAACTCCATCACGTGTAAGTTAATGTGGCACGTTTTGCAGAAATAATCAGGGCCTGGTAATCCAGATCACCACAGAGCCCATCATTAAATCTTTGATGAGAGATTCAAAGCGATTTTTAAATGTGCACGTGGCTCAGAAAACATTAGACAAAAGCTCTACTTTTGTCATCATGACTTCACAAATTGTTCCTCTGGCATTGCCCAGGTTTAATTTCTATTCAAATTCAAAATGGAAGTGTTTGTAATTGAGCAACTGCCTTGTAAATAAATATTGCCCGTAGGTAGGAAAACAAATTAATTCTCACACCAGTTTTCCCGTGTAAGGAGGATGTTCATCCCCCAGGCCTTCTGCCCCTGTGACAGCACGAAAACGGGGTGCAAAGGTGTGGGTTGGGTTAGTCTTTGTTTTCTGGAATCATTTCCTTGTAATTGAATTCCGTGTTTAAGACACGGGCCCCCGTGTTAGAAGATGGGAACTCAGGGTTTCCAGTGATAACAGAGGTGCCTGCAGGCAATTAGAGACCTCAGGGTTTTAGGAGTCTGGTCACTAAAATATGTTACAGCTCAAGGCATTGTTTAACAATCCGAGCCTCTTCCAGCTGTGAAACACTCCCATCATCAAGTAGGTCTCTGGGACTCCCTCAGGAACGGCAGGCTCTGGATATCCAGCTGCTAGGAACAAAAATAAATCTCTTTGAACGCTTACTTGCCATCGCGTTGTGTGAGGACGTAGAGAGGCTGAAATATTTTAATCGTTCATCTCCATTCATCAAATCTTGTCGTTCCTGACAAAACTCCAAAGTGGTTCCAGCTGGGGGTTGGACGTGGCTGACACCAAACTCTGTCCGTGGAGATGAGTGTGGTGGTTAAAGCCCTGCCACACACACAGGCTGTGCCTCTGTACCCAGGGCAATTCCTTGCCCCTGCACAGACACTGGACAGCATTCCACAACTCCTGGTTACTTATGCTCCTGGCTATCACGAGGGATAACAGCACAACTCTAACAGCCTCTACTAACCAGTATTGGAATCTCCTTTGTTAATGGCCATCAGCCATTAGTTTACATGCTCTTTGACCTCTTCTTTGCTGGTACTGAAAAAACATGAGATAAGTTAATATATATACTTAAAAATATTAGGTAGGTTATTAGCAATTGTGTTGCACAACCTGGAGGTGAGTTCTTCATTCAAAGGCTTTTAGGCTGGCAAGTATTTCCAAAGGGACTCCAATGTATTTCACTACACCAGTTTTCCTTATAGTGTTCCTCCTTTTTTTATAAGGCCTGTTTTGTTTCTCCCAGCCTTCCACCCTTCTGGAGCAACGCAGAGCCCTTCAATGGGAGTGTTCACATTAACATCAGTTCTTAATTTTTCTGGGTTTTGGGTCTATTTGATGAAGGACAGAGAATAATGTTGAAATTGCTATAAAATGTTAAAAATGTTTTGACCTGCTCTGTGTGGTTTTGACTGTGGTTTTATTTATGCCCACTGCTGCAAGTAAGGATAATAACCTGGGCAGTGCTGACTTCACCTTCTTTCTCAGTACTGTTTTCCACCAAATTTTCTGTAGCTTCTGAGGTTTTTATTTCATTATTCTCTTCCAGAGAATATTTTTCTTGTATTGTTATTTCCAAGGGCTTTCTGTCTGATTTATTTTCTGTTTTCAGGAGTCAGTGAAGCAGAAAACCAAAAGTTGGTCTTCAGTGGTTGGGGAAAATCGTGAAAGTTGGCGGAGGTGATCTCCGGATGATCCAGCCCAGTTTTTCCAGGACGAGGGAGCAGAGGGCTGGCAAGTGCAGGTAGGCTTCCTGCACTGAATGTGCTGAGAAATCACCCTCACAAACACATTCCAGCTTTGGCAGTGCTCAAGTAATGGCTATTGCCGCTCCAGGGAGGAAATAATTAAAGCCATTTCTTGCCTCTGACAGTTTGATACTGGTGGTTTTCAATAGCAAATTACCAACATCTGTACAGCAAAATGCAGCTACTGCGGCAATTACTGAGCAGGGCTCGCCACAGAGGTGCTGGAATTGTTCATTTGCTGGATGTCCCCTCCTCAGATGTGAATTTGAGACCTGAGCTACACACGATGGCAAACCGGGTCTCCTGTGTTAGAAATGTAAATGAAACCATATGGAAAGATGAATATTCTGTGAAAACCCCAGTGGCAAATGCATCAAAGGCAGAAAATGAAAGGCTGGAAAGACATCTGAATGGCCTTCTTAATTATGTAACAATTTCAAGTTTCCAGAGCAATTCAGAAGCAAAATTTATACAATTCCTTCAATTCCACAAAAATTATGGCATTTCATTCCCACGTACATTTATAACTGTTTTGCACAGTAAACACAAAGAGTGTGACTGTGCGAGCTGAAAACTCCCATCTCGGGCCCACAGCAAACAGCACAGCACAGCAAATTTTCACTGCTGGCGAAAGGAAAAGGTAGCAGAGAAGTTAAATAAGCTCTGTATATCCCTAACTCAAATATTTGATTTTCAAACACTAGCTAGAAAAGGTAATACCAATCTGAGCTGGAATGGGAGGCTGTGAGATGAAATATGTTTCTGAGAGAGAACTGCTTTGGGATTGATAATAAAAATACTGCCTTCTTTCACTGCTTATGTTGTAACTACGTGTCTGTCAGGGTTTTATATTATAATCCACTTTGGTCAGGGATTTACTGATGTGTAAAACTTGAGTTTAGTTTGTAAATTGGCACTCTGTCTTCAGCTCCCTTTCACTGTTATTTAAGCTTCTGAACCCCATCAAGGCACAGTATAATTTCCTGTAAAAATATGCAGTAGTTTTAAATTAGAGCTTCAGACTTCAGCAGTCTTTGGGTGGCCTGGTGGGGGATAAAAATAGCTTGTACACCTATCAGCTGATAACTGAGAGGCTTTAAAATAGACTATAGTCTTCGTGGCCCTAATCAGCTAACTAGGTGGTGGCAAAAATTACCTACAGACACAGCTCAATTAAACCCTTCCTCTCCTTTAGAGAGGAGAGAAACATGAAGTCCTAGGAAGTCACAGCACATTTGTGAGATGAATTTGATTTAGATTTTGATATGCAAGCACCAATCAACCTAATAAAAGCATTTGATTGATTGTACACAGGGAAGGGAGCATCTCCTTGTAATGATGTATCTTAATAATTATTATACTGCAATTTTCAGTCCTCCCTGTGCAGGTTAAGGTCAGATGGTGACTCACCAGTCTCCATCATGGGAGCCCTCCTTCTAAACCTCAGGAAATGCAGGTCATGACGTTTTGGGTGGTAGTACAAAACTCAAGCGCTGTGCAGAGGAATTAAATGCAAACTAAGTAGACTGGGAAATCCTTGTGCAGTTTTGAAGAGGGATTCTGCTCTGTGTTTAGTCAGATGTTCACTACAGAGGAGAAAACAGCTCTTAAAACTCACTCTTGATCTTCACTTGCCACAAGTGTGGGCAGAGCAAGCCAAGGTATTATATTCACATCAGTAATGCCCCGAGACACCGTGATGAGTTATTGCAGTGAGGCCCCCATGAATCAATATTGATTGGCCACTTACTTTAAGGCTACTTAATTAAAACTAACAGGATGGCACAGCTCCCAGGGAAATCCACAGTGTTGTGATTTATGGGTGTGCTTGGGAGAAAGGGGGAAGGACAAGGTGTAACAGTTCTCTTTATTTTGCAGTTGAGATCTTTCCCCTGTAAAGGTAAATGATCAGTTTAAAAAGAGAAACTGGATGAGTGCAGTAAATAAACTAGAAGGGCTGTTTTGGCAGTACCTTGGCTGTTAGAGAGGAATTCTGGCTTCTTCCCAGGGTACCTGACTGTCCTATGGCATGAGTGTCATCCAGAGCATCCAGCATGAACCTCTCTCATGTTAATGAGAAAAGAAAATTACTTCCCTGTAACTGGGGTTGGAGTGAGCCCAAGTCCCATTGCTGTTTTGTCAGGTTTATGTTTCTGCTGAATGTAATTAGTTCCACAATTATATCAAATTTTAGCTATTTATTCACAGCATCGAAATCTGGGGGAATCCACCAAGCTGACTTGAAGTGTATTTTTACCTAGAAATCTACACAATCTACTCCTTATTTTTACCTTTGCCTTGACGCTTTGAGGAGCAGTTGTTTATTTTTCGTCAGGCTGGTTTAGGCAACAAGTTGCACTTTCTCTGCCAGCCCTGTGTGTTGGGTGTGTTTGTTTGAGCAGAGTCACGTGTGAGAGGCAGAGAATCCAACCCCCTGTGTCACTAACGAAACCCTGGGGCTTTGCACCTCCACATATTCCTGTTTCTCAGTGGCCAGTGGACAGGAAAAGTAAGGAAAATCCCACACAATGAATGCCATAAGGAGTTGTTTCTCATCTGTTCATATTTGCACAAAAATAAATACAGGGAATTATGCCTTGAAAAGTTCAAGCCTTTGAATTGTGCTTAGCAGGCAGAAGTCAAGAAGTCACTTGCAACAGAACTGGGTTTGTTTTTTATCAGCACTTGCAATATCCTGAATCTCTGCTTGCTCTTGCAAACAGTTTGGTGAGGGAGCAGCTGAGGTGCCAGAGGACAATGTATCACTCCCTGAGGGGAAGGTCTTGGACACTGTTAAGATAAAGGCAAGAACAGCATAGGGAAGTGTGATTTAGGCAGTGAATTGATTTCTTTGTGTTTCTTCCAAAGCAAGGAAAAAACCAGAGAAAATATTTTTTTTACGTCTGATGCTAGAAGAAACCAAACTTTTTATCATCTCCTTATTGTGCTAAGTGATAATTTGTGTTTTGTGAACATTCTAAATAAAGCCAGACAGTTCCACCATTTCTAGAGGATTTCACTGATAGTGTTTGAATTGAAGCAATGCTCTTGGCTGAAATCATCCACTCCATTTTTTTGTTAGTTTTGTTCAGGTGTATTAATTTCTAAAGACAGGCAGGCTTCAGTTCTCTGTATGCAAAAGACTGAGTTTTTGAAGGTTTTGAACCTTAGAAACTATAGAATGTTTTGCTTAAAGGATTTAATCTTGGAGTTTTGTCAGGAGTCTGAAAAATTACACTTTGTTTTTTGAGTCATCTGTAAGGGACATCAAATTCTCCCAACAGTTGCTGGGAGAAAGTGTCCATGCTTTCCCAAACATTGGCATGGAGATTTAACTGGGCAGAAGCCCCCAGATTCTTGTGTGGGTGAGCACACTGGTGGCTTGTGATCAGGCAGCATTAAGAAACTGCAGTACTTGCTGGGATGTTTCCCTCTCTTATTAAAAAGAGATTTATATAAAGTAATATTTCTCTGCACTGCCACCTAGTGAAGTGACCACGCTGTGTAAAGACTCTGAAACTCTCAGCTGAGCATTGTAAGAGTGAACTGTATCTCAGGGGCACACAGGGCTTGGTGCACAAAATAGAGTTCAGTGCAGAGCAGCTGATATTGTGCTGAGGGTAACAGCAAATATTGCACAATCAGTGAGATACAATAAATGTAATCACAGAATTCCAGCAATGGCTGCGATGACAGAGAGAGTCAAAAGGTTTAAACAGAGCAGCAGGAGTGGCTGGCTAACCGTAGATGCAAAACACTGAGTTTTAAATAAATCAAGGATTCAATCTCTGCAGCTGCTGGAATGGTCTAAGTTTTTTGGTAAGGTCTCTATCTTCAAGCCCACAGAGTGATGCCCACCAAAATCCTCACTGGAGTTCTTTGGTCTAGAACTTGAGTGACAGTTTTTAGAACAAGCTTTTGAGACTCTCAGTGATGCCCAGTTTGTGTTGGGAAACCCCCACCGTGGGTGTGCTGTGGGTGATGGGATTTACTGCTCCAGTGCCGGGATGGGCACCCATCGGGATCCTGCACATTCCACCTCTCCATTTCTGCTTAACTCAATGAGATTGATTTTGTTTAAAGATCCTTGACTATTTTTGGAACAGACAAGTAGGTCAACCAGTTCGTTTCCTGATAGTGGAAATAGCTAAAATAGGACACCCAGCTCTGAAATCATTACTCCCTTCATGTATCATTTAGTGAACAAAATCTCTCGTAATACTCTTGTGAAAGTCATCTTAAAATCAGAAACTGTTCCCAACATAATGAAAACGGATATAATATGATTTAGAAGAACTAAAAAATCAAGACAAGTGAAAACCAGATCCCAAATTTTGTGAGTTATCCCTCAGCCATAACTGAATTAAGCATTATCTTAAAACATAAATGAAAGATGAGTTTATATTTTAAATCAGGGATCACTTCTAAAGTTTTTGGTTGCAGGCAGGATCTGTACATGTACAGACTGGCTGTATTTGCTAAAGTTGTGGGAAGGAAGTGAAGCAAACTGGTCATCTGGCAAGTAAAAGACAAGTGCAGGGTGGAATAAGTTTCTGATTATTATTGATTTTGGAGTAAGCCCTATTTTAAGGTCTTCCATTGAATCATGTCATAAAGTGTAAATTACAGAACAAGATTTCTTAACTTTATTTGCTAAAGTGTTTGAGAAATCCGGGAGCCTTTGAAAAATCTGGAGCTTGTAGTTCTGAATGAGTTTGCTGTATTCAGTAATTGGAGCCATATTTAAAGAAAAGAAAAATCCTTCCTTTTATTGAAGAAAGGCTAAGTAGGATTGAGCTGTAGCCACTACCCCCCTGAGCCAAGCTGAGTGACTGAGAGAGGAGCTGTTTTACCTGTCTCTTGAGGCAATGAATTACTGTCTCCTAAATAATCTCAGAATGCCAGGGCAGCCAGGCAATGACCATGCTGGGAATTATAAGTAAGCAAACACTTTGGTTCGTTGGCAACTGCACTGCTGATTTTTTTTTTATTTTATTTTTTTTTTTGCCATTTAGTTTCCAGCCCAAATTGCATTTAATCTTCTTTGTTCAAGGAGTTTCCTTCCTGAGTTAGACACAGTTAGGTTTGAACACTTAATTGCATGTTGCCACAATACTTACAATTCATTTTTATTGGAAAAACACAGTCCTGAGTGGGAAACTTCAACCAAGGCAGTTTGTTTATTTGCAGTTTCCTCCAA